CTCTGTTTGTCCTTTTTGTCACCACTACTACCACAACAACAACAAAGAAAACTCCAAACGCATCCCATTTGAGATAATTAGTGGTCTTAACTGTCAATCAAATTCAATGTCAATAACAAGTCTTAAGAAGAATACAGTGAAGACAAGAGTAAAAATCGTTACAGTATTTGTAAATTCAATTCAAAATAGATTTGTAACAATGATTTAAAGTGTCGCGATTTAACAATGATTAAAGTGATTATATTTTGATTAAATTACAACTTTTAATGTCTCGCTTATTTGTCGAGCATTGTATGCAAATGTATTATTATATTGAATGTTATTGAGTACTGATTGGTAGTAGTGGTGGACAATCCTCACTAACAGAGGAATAGTTATCCATAGTATTCAATATGCAATTCAAATGAAAGACAACACTCGTTAAGACACTGATTGCTATACAGTATTACAGGTCTTATTAGGGAAGTGAATCCGCGGACATTCATAATGATACAAATTGCATGCGTTAACAATGATTAAGTTTCATTGGATTTAAATTATTTATTGACTTAATTTGCAAACTGTTATGAAATACAAACACATATTTGAGAATAATTTTTCTGTTTATGAAAATTAAATATCACACAATTTACATATAACTCAAAAATTAAATACAATTCATTTGTCTCTAACTTTTATAAAAGTATTCAAACATTTCACTGTTTTATCAATTCATATGATTTTAATTTTGATTATTTCAAGTATTTCTGCAACAGTTTTATGTAAATTAAACCTAAAATGACATCAATTTAGATATAATCTAACATAATATACATCTTACAGGTCAGGGAACTGTTTCTCCGCCACACATAGAGATCGGTAATTATCCGCTACTCAATAGCCCGACGTGTGGTTTGCGTAAAGTGAATGGCGAAACACAATCACGAATAGTGGCCGGAGATATGGCAACAGTGGGTGAGTTCCCGTGGATGGCGTCCATTCAATATGTGGGAAACAACGGCTCACAACCCCAGGCTTTTGTATGCGGCGGAGCTCTGATCGCCGATCAATGGGTTATAACCACTAAACACGGTTTTATAGAGTACTTAAAAAACATTGTTTTCTATTCAAATCCTAACGATTATTATTTGATTGGAAGAAATCGTCCGCCGATTACTCACACCCACCAATTTGTTGTGTATTTGGGAGCCTTTCATATCAATGGAAGCACTCAAGAGATGAAGGAAACGGCAACCGATTTCTATTTATACCCCGATTATGATTTGGCTTTGATTCGTCTGTCCAGACATGTGGTGCCAGTCGTCCGATCGGGTAATTATTTGGTGAATAGTGTTTGTGTGCCGAAAGAAAAGCTACTAAACTCTGTGCCAGAGTTTGTGTGGATCTCGGGTTTCGGTTATATTGACACTGAGGGACGGGTTCCTACGCTAACCCTTAGGAAAGCAAACTTAGCCATCGATTCCTACACCGATTGTTTGTCGCGTAACTATGATATGCATTACATATGCGGCACTGAAACCG